GTCACTTTAAATATCCAAAATGGCCACCACTTGTAAACATTCAAAATGGCTGCACCCTTGGTCACTTTAAATACCCAAAATGGCTGCCATGTGTAAACAATCAAAATGTCTGCGTCCTCCAGACAGCAGAAAGTCCACAGCTCAGGTTGTCTCCCTCCTTGCTGTTGCCCTTCCTAGTCATAGGCCACCAGAGCAGTTGTCCCTGTAGCCATTGCTGACTGGGACTGATCTTTAGGTCAATTCTCAGGTCCCAACACCACTTGGAAATATTCCAGCTGTCAGAGTAGTTGACAGTCCGCAGTTCCAACCTTCTCTGTACTCACTGTTTTCATTCAGGTTTTTCCACTAGTTGGTGCCTAATCCACATCTGTATAGTTCCTTTCAAAGCTCAGGGTTCCAGGATTATCTTCTGTATCTCTGTCAGTTGGTTTTTCTTTTCTTTGTTGAAGAAGGTCTGTGTCACTTGTCTGCCTATTCCTCCATCTTACTGGAAGTCCCTTTCACCATACTTATTCAATTTGTATGCTGAGCAAATAATCCAAGAAGCTGGATAATATGAAGAAGAATGTGGCATCAGGATTAGAGGAAGAATCATTAACAACCTGTGATAGGCAGATGACACAACTTTGCTTGTGGAAAGTGAGGATGACATGAAGCACTTACTGAAGACTACAGTCTGCAGTATGGATGACACCTCAATATAAATAAAACAAAAATCCCCACAACTAATCCAATAACCAGCTTCACGATGGATGGAGAAAAGACTGAAATTGTCAAGGAACTTCATATTACTTGGTTCTATAATCAACATCAATGGAAGCAGCAGTCAGGGCATCGGACAACGTATTGCATTGGGCAAATCTGCTGCAAAAGACCTCTTTCAAGTGATGAAGAGCAAAGATGGCTCCTTGAAGACTAAGGTGCACCTAACCCAAGCCATGGTATTTTTAATTGCCTCTTATGTATGTGAGAGTTGGACAACGAATAAGGAATACTGAAGAAGAGTTGATGTTTTTGAGTTGTGGTGTTTGAGAAGAATGCTAAGAGTACCATGACTGCTAAAAGGACTAACAAATCTGTTGCAGCCAGGATGCTCATTGGAAGTAATGGCCAGACTTCGTCTCACCTACTTTGGTCATGTTGTTAGAAGGAACCATTCCCTGCAGAAGGATATCATGCTCGGTAAAGTGGAGGGTCAATGAAAAAGGGGAAGACCCTCAACGACATGGATTGACACAGTGGCTGCAACGATGGGCTCAGGTATAGCAAGGATCATGAGGCTGGCACAGGACTGGGCAGTGTTTCATTCTGCTGTACATAGGATTGAGAGTCAACTGGGTGGCACCTAACAACAACAACAATGTCCATTTGTGGTATTTCCGTTATAACAGTACTAGAGAATCAAGGCATCGTTTTAAAAGCCTTATCTGACTAGCCATGGTAAAGATTGAGCATATACTATATAATAACGTGGTAAACAGGCACTCTCATACATATTGATAAAAACACAGATTGATACAACTTTTACAAAAGTCAATTTAGTAATATTTAGAAAAATGTTAAAAGCAGAAGGACTTTGATACAGAAATTTTGCTTTTAGGAATTTATTGTTTAGTTATTGGTGTTAGTTTTTAGGAGTCAGCTCCAATTAGTGGCGACTTCATATATAACAGAAAAAAGCTCTGCCCAGTCCTGTACCCTTTCATGACCATGACTATGTTTGAGTCTGGTGTTTCAGTGACTGTGTCAGTTGATGTCATCAAGGGTCTCTTCCTTATCTCACTGACCCTCCACTTGACCAACTATGATGTCCAGCAATTTGCCTTTCCTGATGTGTTCAAAGTAAGCTGAAGTTTCATCATCCTTCCTTCTAAGGAACATTCTAGTTGTATTTCTTCTAAGACAGATTTGTTCATTCTTTTGCAGTTTGTGTTATATTCAACATTCTTTCCTAACACCACAATTTAAATCCATCAATTCTTCTGTCTTCTTTCTTCACTGCCCAGCTTTTGCATGTATATACGGCAACTGAAAAGATCGTGGCTTGGTTCAGACACACCTTAGCCATCTTCTTTGTTTTAAAGATGTCTTTTGCAGCAGATCTGCCCAATACAATAGTTAGTTTGATTTCTTGATTGCTGCTTCAATGGATGTTTATTGTTGGTCCAAATAGAATAAAATCTTTGATACTTTGATTTTTCTTCATTTATCATGATGTTTATTGGTCTAGTTGTGAAGATTTTCATTTTCCTCACATTCAAGTGTAATGCATACTGAATGCTATATAGACTTTGTCCTTTATCAGTAAGTGCTTCCAGTTGCAAGGCTGTATAATCTGCTTCTATGTACATACTAATATAAGGGAAATATAGCAAGTGTACAAGAATATCCATTGCTACACTGTTTGTAATAAAAAAATATTAGAAACAATTCCCATGTCTATCAGAGTACAAATACAAAGTCTGATATACAATGAAAGATAACTAGATATAAGAAGAGATAAGACCGTAAAAACAGGAATTAACAGAAAAAATAAACTGTGGTTTATTTACCACTATAGTATATTTACTGCTAAGAAAAACCTCTAAGATATATTATTAAGAAAACCAAAGGGCAAAGTTGTTGTTGTTGTTATTTGCCGTCGAGTCGGCCGAAGTTAGCATATAAAATCAAAAACCAAAACCACTGCCATCAAGTAAATTCTGACTCATAGGTCAGAGAAGAACTGCCCCCCCCCATAGTGTTTCCAAGGCTGTAAATCTTTATGGAAGCAGGCTATCATATCATTCTCCCATAGTAAGTATATAGTACACCACTATTTTTGAACTATGTGTGTATTTCTAAAATTTCTAAAATAAAATAATTAAATTTTAATGCTAAGTAGCAAAAAGCCTTTCTAGTTGTTCTCTAATGTATATGGAATAATGTTGAACAACCTTACTGTATTCTACACAAGCCATAGCCTCATCTACTTTGAGAACAGAAAAACTAGATGGTGCCCCCCTTCCACTATTGATCATTCTGCTCAGGGCTGCAATGGATGCTGATAGAATGGTAGAAAAATGTGGGACAGAACTAAAATTCTTAAAAAGTCCAGAAGTAGTGGGCTAGTTGAAACTAGAGGATACCCCAAGACTATTCTCTTGAAATAGTTTAGAACCTTGAATCAAAACATCCCAAGGCAATCTTTTAGATAACAGATTGACTCACCAAATAATAAATTTCACCCATGATTATTGTGCTCCTTTAAAAAACCATCTATATGAAACCAAAAGGTCAGCAATTAATTTTTTAAAAAATGAGAAGGTGAGAGATCAGGGAAACGAGATTACTAAAAATGGAACATTCAAAACACAAATAATGAGAATGTTCACACATTATGAGCAATATAACCAATGTCCCTGAATAATGTGTATAGAAATTGTTGAATGGAAACCTAATATTTTGCGTAAACTTTCACTGAAAACATAATAAATTATCATCAAAAAAGAAAACAAAACACCTTACTGTGACAAATTTAAAAATTCATAATATAACCCCATTTATCTTTTCAGTCTATCTCCTGTCTTCTCAATGTAATACCTTATACTCTACCCATATCAAACAATACATACTTTTCAAAACTCAATTTTCCTCTTGACTCATGCCTACACATTTTTTCATTTGTTTCATCATCTGAAAAATGCAGATAATGCCTTCTTCATGGGATTGGAATAAGAATTAACTTACATAATGCAAGCAAAGTATCCACCTTATGAAAGCTCAATAAATGCTACTTTTTCAAAAATGTTTTTATTGTGATTTAGGTGAAAGTCTACAGAGAAAATTCATTTTCCATATAGCAGTTCACGCATATGTTGTTTCATGACACTGCCTGTAATTCCCCACAATGTAACATCTCTCTTTCCACTTCCTCCCCAAAGTTACCTCTTCCCTGTGTCCTTCCCTCCCATGAACTAACACCTCCACCCCCAGCTATCTCCCTGTACAAACACTGTCCTTCTATTTTCCAGTGATTGATTACTCCAGGGAGTGTATCTACCTGATGTAAATATTCACCCCATATTCCTATCTATTGTGTGGCTGGAAGCCACAGGAGTGAGTTCAGCTCTAGACCTGAAGGGCACCTAGGGGCCATAGTCTCAGGGGTCTCACCAGGCTCTATCAGACCAGCAAACCTGGTTATATATATATATATATATATATATATATATATATATATATATAATTTAGTTTTGTTCTACATTGTTCTCCCACTGTATCCAGGATCTCCTGCACCAATCCCCCTCTGAATCTTTGACAGTGGCAGCCAGACACCATATAATTCTTCTGGTCTCATGGTCATAGAGGCTGAGGCTCACATGGTCTATTATTCCCTTCAATTAATTGCTTCCATGTGTCTTTGGTTTTCCCTGCTCTGGGTGAGGAGATTCCCATCACTGAATAACTGCTACTTTTGGAAATGGCATACAAAGTAATTTGGACCAAATATTCCATTGAGAACAACCAAATAAACTTAAACATATTTTGAAAAATATGCTTGAAAACATGTGAGTACTCAACAAAATATATAAAAGCCTTGTTCCACATCCTACATTGATGATTAGCAACTAGGGTCTTAAAAGCTTTCAAGCAGCCATCTAAGATGCAGCTAATGGTCTCCTAGCATCATAAGTGAAGAAAAGTGCAAAACAAACAAACAAAAACAAAAGGGCATTTGGAAGCAATCAGCCCTAGGACATGATGGTCCTTGAGACCAGAAGAACTAGATGTGCCCGGCTACCAATGCCAATCACTCAGGAAAGGACCAAATCTGGAGATCCTGGATAGAGTGGGAGGGAAAACGTGGAACAAAATCCAAAAACTCAATAATGACCAGAATTACTGATCAGATGGAGTCTGGTGAGACCCCCAATATTATGCTGCTGGAATACATTCTGGACCTGGAATAAAACTCACTCCCAGGGACTGGCTCTCAGCCCAATAGTTAACAAGATGTACATGCAGACCACTCAACTCAGGATGACACACCCACATACTCTATGGAAATACACCTCTTAGAGCAATAGACCATGGGGCACCAGAGGGGCAACATTCACATGGAGGAAATGCAGGACAAACAGGAGTGCATAACTATGAGATGCACAGCCGGAGGGTTACTGGGAAGGGAGGGAAGGAGACTGGGTTAGGGTTGGGCATGGTAAATGGGGAGTGAAACTAAATGTACACATAACAATGAATGTAAAACAAACTCAAAATTAAAAAAAGAAGAAAACATGTGAGTACTAATAATGTATTCAAGAATTATCAGGTCAAAATCAAGAGGACAAAATTTCATAGTAGTGATTATAACATTTGAAGCTGCTTTTCTGTGTGCTTGCTGATCTTGAAGAGCATCTAGCAAACTAAGCAGCATGTTTACGGAATCAAGGGCCCTGGTAAACCTCTCAAACTTTCAGTTGGGACCTCCAAGGGATGCACCCTACTAGTAGTGAGGGCATAATGGAAATAGACAAATCCTTGAACATACTGTAGCATAACTCTGAGTCATTTAGCTGGCTTATAACAATCTCTGGAAGTGGATTAATATTGTTCTAGATTACTAGTACTTGAGTTGTTTAGCAAAACCAAAGGGGGAAAAATACCTTCTGGAAAAAAGATAATGTCAACCTAAGCCTCAGTAAGAAGGAGCTCTGGTGGTGTAGTGGTGTATGGCTGCTAACTAAAAGGTGGGTGGTTCGAACCCACCAGTCACTCCATGGAAGAAAGATGGAGCAGTCTGCTTCCATAAAGATTTACAGCCTTAGAAACTCAATAGGGGTTCTTACAAGTTGGAATCAACTCAATGGCAGTAAGTTTGGTTTGGTTTTTGGAAGCCTCAATAACTTTTACAAACAATTCTTCAAATACAAGGACTCACATAAGATGAAAGAAAATCAGACATAAAAGCAGACAGACAAAAAGAACAAAAAAACAGCCAAAAACAGAACAATGGAAAGAGTCACAGGACCTCCAGATATTAACAGTATCAGACACAGCACAGAATTTAAACAACTACGATCATGGTACGAACATGGAAGATTGATCATTTCAGCAGGAAACTGGACACAGTAAAATATTACATAGCAGATATGAAAAAGAACAAAAAAGAAATTCTAGAAATTAAAAAATATAACTGAATTAACAACTCAATGGACAAAATAACAGCCGATAAGAATATAGTTGAAAAGACAAACAGTGAACTGGAAGATAAGTCAAATGAAAATACCCAGAATAAAGCACAAAGACACTATTGTCTAACATACATTTAATTACAAGTTGAGAATAAGAGAAGAGTAAAATTGGGTTAGAAACAGTATTAGAAGAGATCATAGCTGAGGATTTCCAAAACCAGTGAAAAACATGAAAGCCAGAGATTTAACAACCAAAATGGATTAAGAAAAGAAAACCCACACCTAAACATATCAGAGTAAAACTATAAATAAATGAAATGCAAAATACTTTTAAAGTAGCTGTTGAAAAAGACATTATCTTCAAAAGTAAAATAATTAGCCTGACAGCTAATATTTCAACCAAAACAATGAAAGCTAGAAGAAAATAGAGTGATATATTAAAAGTGAAAGAAAATAGTTGCCAATCTTAAAATATAAACCCAGCAAAAAATACCATTTAAGAATGATTCAAATGTAACATGGATGAACCCTGAAAACAATATGCTAAGTGAAAGAAACCAGACAAAAAGGCTACATATTATGTGATTATGTTTATTAAATATCCAGAATATACAAATCCATAGAGAAAGTAGATTAATGATTATCAAGGGCTGGGGGATGGGGAGTGATTGTTAATGTGTCTAAAGTTTCCTTTTTGGAGTGATGAAATATTCTAGAATTAGATAATGGAGGAGGTTGAACAACTTTGTGAATGCAGTAAAAATTACTGAATTGGATGCTTTTAAATGGCTAAAACGGTGACTCTTGTGTGAATTTTATCTTGATAAAAAAGAATGAAGCTTTAGTAATAAATTATTAAAGAATTATTCACAAGCAGATCCACACCAAAAGGCTATTCTTCAGGCTTAAGGAAAACAATACCAGTTAGAATAAAGAGCAATGGAAAGGGTAAATAAGTAGGCAAATCTAAATGGATAAAATACTATACAGTATTAAGAGCAATGACGATATTCTTCAGAATCATTTGAGTTCCCAGGTCCGAGAAATATGAAAGAGAGCCAAATAAAAACTGGAGAGGAATCTGCTTATAGAAGTCTTCTGATTGTAGAGATCAAAGACGCTACATTCGTTGAGGGTGGAGATCAGAGGCTGCAGATCACAGACACCATCTCTTTAAAATTACTAATTTGGAGTTCTAACCTAATTTAAAGTATGCATGAGAAATATAAGCCTCCAATACAAATCACTGAAATGTAAGAACTCACATTTTTAAAAATGGACTAGTTTTCAATTTCTATTTAATTTTTAAATTCTTTTTAAAAACTTACAATGTGGAAAAGCACTTGGCACACAAAAAGCTGCACCTACCCTTTCTCAGTCACATCATCCTTAGAAGAAACCGGATACCAAGGCTCACTTTTAGAAGGTTTTTGAATTGCTGTTTTCACTCTAGGTGATTTCTTGGGAGATTTAGGAGGTTGTAATGAACTCGATACCTCTCTCTAAAAAGCAGTGAGATAATGAACAAAATAAAAAATGAGCAAAATTTTAAAAAAGGATACAAAATAAAGCATAACTCTGCATATGTATCACAAATTTCTTTTGATCACTTGTTGACTGCTTCCCCTCCAATTTATCATCAATCATATTTCCCACTAGAATAAATCTTTTCTCCTTTTCTAAGTCCCATTTAATCAACCAGAAAACAGAAATATAACACCTATTCTGACCATAAGTTTAAAAAAAAGAAAAGAAAAGAAAATGTCAAAGGCTTGTGTATTTTACTTCTATCATTGTGAATGAAGACTCTTTCCTGGAGGAGAAACTAAGTAAAATATCTTCTTTGTTCTGGTAGCATAGTGCCTAAGGCACTTGACTGCTA